CCCGCCCCGCCCCCGCCAATCCCCCCTCCATCCGCATCACTGGAACCGGTTCCGACCTCTCAACCCTTCGCCGCACCGCCCACCGCCTCCACTCCTTTGCTTCCTCCCTCCAACTCCCCTTCCAATTCCACCCACTTCTCGTTCCCCCTTCCTCCCAACCATCATCCACAAACGCCTTCCATCTTTGTCCCGGTGAGACCCTCGCGGTCAACTGCGTCCTCTTCCTCCACAACCTTCTCAAATCAGATGGCTTTCGTGACGCTCATTCTTTTCTACGATCAGTCCGTGCTCTCAACCCCGTCGTAGTCACGCTCGCTGAGCATGAAGCCGGCCATAGCTCCCCATCATTCAAAGACCGATTTACAAAAGCGCTGGAGCATTACACAGCTGTGTTCGAGTCATTGGAGGCCACTCTACCGCCGACAAGCAGGGAGAGGATGGCAGTAGAGCGGGTATGGTTTGGGAGGGAGATTGCAGGTGTTGTATCTGGTGACGAGAAGCACGAAAGGTTCGAAAGGTGGGAGGAGATGATGAGGGCTGCTGGTTTTGCTGGGGTTAATCTGAGCTCCTTTGCTATATCGCAGGCAAGGTTATTGCTTAGACTTCATTATCCAGCAGAAGGATATAAACTTCAGGTGGTGAGGGGCTCTTGCTTCCTTGGTTGGCAAAACAAGCCACTCTTCTCGGTTTCTTCTTGGCACTGCAATTAAATTGGATGCGAATGTTATTAGTTATTTTGCATTCTAATTAAACTTACTTGTTTCTTAAGGTTTAATGATAATAATACCCCTAACCCTAACCCTAACCCTAACCCTAGGTTTAGGGTTGAGGGAATTTTGGTGGTGGTGGACGTTGCATGGGGAGTTTAGCAAATAAGTGTGAAAGGATTGGAATAGTTTACTCATTAGTTCCATGACTGACTAATGACATGTTTTTTAATGTGGATGATGCTTGTTTTTTAAGTTGGTGCTTGCTTTCTTATTTTTCTTGGTTGCTTTATGGCGCAAGCACTTATTCCTTGGGAAAGTTCCCATCTTGAGTGTCACCTTTACTTCCTTGCTTTATTTATTGAGATTTTTTATAGGAGAGCTATCTATAGATTCCATAAGTTTGTTGCAAAGCTTTCACTTTCAACTTTAAAAATTGTGGTTTTAACAAGTTTTAATGGATTGTGGTTGTAGTGTAATTAGGTAGAAGATGTGATTATGATGGAGGAAGAAGAAACCTTTGGAAAGTTCTATTTTTTCACGGTTTTCTCCTTTGTTCAAGTGATTTGGGTTTAATTTATGTTACTACATACATTTACTTATTAAAATAGACTCCACATACTTAGTTGTTTTCATACAAGTTATATATTTTCATATTGCACGTGCAGGTGGGATAACTTATATACATTTTTTATTTAGACTTCCATATTTCCTTATTTCGATCATGTCGTTTGTTTGATTCCATTAGGCAATAGGGAGTGGTGCTGTCCTTAAAAAACTAACCCTAAACATATTTTCATCATCTTAAATAACAATGCCCCTATAGCATCTAAAGGCTATTGTGTGCTCACTTTACATTAGTTCTCTTTTGACTTTTCTTCTGCGTGCAGCAGTGTTTCCTTTCTTGTCTTCCACACCATGGCTGCATTATGTTTGCTCATCGTCTCTATAGGTGTGCTCTATTTCTCGTCTCTCCCAATTCTAATTAACTCTCGACTTTTTGAAGCCCCCTTCCTTCCTTGGGATCTTGCATTCCTTGTTGCAGTTTTAAGAAGTACTAAATGATTCTCTTATTTATTTGGACATTGCCACTTGTGCATAATAACTCTGCCATACACTTCCTACATCTCTTTTCCTTTACCTTAGAAACATAGTTTATATACTATCAGCAGCTTATGTCAACAGATGTGACTGCTGTCTTTTCCTTGTAATTAATTAATTGGATCACTTGTGTTAATCTCTGCCAAATGGAAGACTAAGTACTTGGGGTTTATGGAAATTTCAACATGGAATGTAGAGGAAAAAAAATCAGAAAGCATATAAAATATATTGTCACAACATGTTTTTTAGCAAGTATGATTGGTTCGCATGAATTAATTTGCAAGCTTTTATAACAGCAATGTTTGTAAGTGTCAGCATGATTGCTTATGACTTCTGTCATGAGAAATTCAGTCCACTATTTTCATTTTTATATTGTTTTTACGTTGAATCTCAAGTGAATAAAGTGATGTTGTTGCAGATTTCTCACATGACATCTTGAAAGAGGAGGAAGCACATTCTAT